TGATGCGGCTCCGAACCGTTTCGGGAGGCCGAACGAGGCAGCGCTTCAACCCGGACATGCTGCTTCGGACCCCAAAGCATCCAAAGCTTCTCCGGATCTAAAGTTCTGTCCAAAGCCTCGCACAGCCCTAATATCCAGACGTATTAAAACAGTGATAAAATATGGTTAATCTGAGTAAAGCTACACTCTTCTGTGTGCAAACTTCAGGTTACTATTAACAGTTTCTGTCTGCCAGCAATGCTTGTATAAAGATATACTTAATATCACTAAATTTTTTTTCCTCTCTGCTCTTACTTATGCTAAAGTCATAGCTGAAAAGTTAATGGACTAAATTTGCATTTTTTATCATTTAAACTCTGTATGCAACAACATCTTTAAAACTTATAAATGAGCACTATTGCTGTGGATGCATCAACAAAACAATTGCTTGTGATTATTTTTCATTGTATTGCTCTCCTATTCCATAAACATTGTTTGAGTATGCTAATCAATTTGTAAGAGATAAATCATGCAGCTAATTCTTTGTTATCTGCCTGCTTAAATTCTTTTAATCTAGAAACAAATACTTTTGTATTAGATTAGATAGTCATATTTTCCACTAGATGACAGATCAGCTAATAGGCCAGAAAATGTCTCTCAGCTTTCTGCTAGCAAGGTTTCAGCTGCTTTTTGCAATGGAATTTCTCCCCTCATATTTGGGCAGCATAGCAGTTTGTATTATCTGATTGCCCTTGAATGCTTTGCATAATCAGGTAGATTCCTGTCTTTCCACATCTGTTACAGTTCCTCTACTTAATATTCACAGTACTCTGTGCAATAGATAGTCAGTTGTATTCATGTTGCATTAGCAAATGTACTGTAACTCAGAATGCCACTGAACAAGTCAGAGTGTAACAATGATATGATTTATATTTCAGGAGAACCGTGCCCAGAGAATGGCAGAAGCCCAGGCTCAGTGTCTACTCACCACAGTTCTCCAAGAAGTGACTATGCTGCTTACACTAACAGTAATCATGCTGTATCTAGTAGTAATGCTACACCCCCAGAGGGGTTTAGTTCTCACAGCTTACAAACCAGTGATGTTGTCATCCACCGCAAAGAGAATGAAGGGTTTGGCTTTGTTATCATCAGCTCTTTGAACAGGCCTGAGTCTGGATCTACAATAAGTAAGTAAAATCCTACTTTTCAGCTGTTACTTCTTCAGGTTTGCCTGGAGTAAAAATAAGATGACACCTCAACTCTCTATGTTCCTCACTTAATCTGCTTCCACTTCAGAAAAGAAAAGCAAAATAAAATATTATGGGAGAAATTCCTGTCATCCCACAATATAAAGTGATCCCAGAAAGTGTTTTCACTCTGTTTTTCAGTCAAGCATTTATGAAAAAGGCCACTCTTCATATAATCCCAAATTAACATTTTTGTTAAATTCAATATGATCATCAAAAATAAACAAAAACCATAGCCAATTAGGCTATGAGGACTCTATAGTTATTACTCAGTTGCACTTCATGGCCAACCGGAACTATGTGGTGACAGATGGGATAAAATAAATCACCCTCTTCCCAAATTCATGTTCATAATAACTGGGAGTTAATTCATGAAGAATCTTCTACAAGCGATAGCTATATGACATGAGTCTGAGATGTCCTGTAGAAAGTGCTGATACAGAGACATACTAATGAGTAGAAGTAGTCAAAATTTCTTTTCCCAGATTTTTTCTGACCAGAGAAAGAGAGACACCACCCAAAAGAACCAGGTGGTTAGGACATTGAGGCCCTTTATAAAGGCTGTGTTTTTCTATGTTTAATCTGGAGTACAGCTGTAACTATATACATGTGGATGTCTGTAATTCAAATTCAAATTGGCTCCAGTCCGAATTAAGTAATCCTCACTGAATGCGGGTTAAAATCAATGCAGACTAGGGCAGTCCAAATCAGGCAATTTAAACTGTATTAATTAACATGTATATATAGTGTTGCTTTTAGGAAAAACAGTCCTTAGGATCTCAGATAAGCATTGCAAATATCAATCCCAGCAAGGGAAATTCTGTTGGGTTTTTGCAAAACAGTAGAGGCTATCAGGCATAAAGTAACACCTTTAAAAAGTCACAGGTGCCAACAACACTTCACCCTGCTAAGTATCGGGTCAATTACAACACTTTAGATAACCACAACAATGTAGGAGTGCTTTTACAGGCTTATTATTATATTTTGTACTAATTATTATTAATTAGTACAAAATATTCAAGTCAAATCTGACTTCCAACCTCTGTTAATGGGCTGTCAAGTGTATAGACTGCATATAACCAGTGCCCCCTACCATGATAGTCAGCGATCATCTATTAGCCATTAATTCAAACTGAAATTTGATTCAAACTGTGTGATGCAAATCAGTTAACAAGGTTTAGAAAATGCTGAGCACTGTCTACAAATGGCCTGAGTTGTGAGGTGTGTCACAGCAAGAACTGAAACCTGTATCTTCCCCATTCCAGGTATATGCCTTAATATCCACTCTGTTGTGGAACTGTTTTGTCACTCTCAGGTTTCTTTTGTTTCTAATAAAAACATTCAGAAGTCTTGTTTTCATTCTACATCAGAATGATAACATATTTCAAAAACATCAAACTTTTTTCATAGGGTCATAAAAAAGTAGGACTGGAAGTGACCTCACGAGGTCATCTAGTCCAGCTCCCTGCTCAAGGTAGGATCACCTTTAATTAAACCATCCCAGCCAAGTGTCTGTCCAACCTGCTCTTGAAAACTTCCAAGGATAGAGATACCACACTTTCTTTAGGTAGCTTGACAACCCTCATAGTCAGAAAGTTCCTTCTAATCTCCAACCTAAATTTCTCCTGCTGCAATTTGAGACCATTGCTCCTAATCCTGTCCTCTATGGCCACAGAGAAAAGCCCTTCTCCATCTTCTCTATAATCTCGCTTCAGATATTTGAAGACTTTTATGAACATCCCCTCAGTTTCTGTTCTCCAGACTAATAACCCTAGTTCTTTCAGCCTGCCTCCTAAAGTTTGCCTCCCAGGCATTAATCATCTTTTTTGCTCTGCACTGGATTCTTTCCAAACTGTTTGCATCCTTCTTGAAGTGTGGAGCCCAAAGCTGGACACAATTCTCCAGGCAAATCTCACCAGTGCTGAATAGAGCAAAAGAATCACCTCCATTGATTTGCAAGTGACATTCTTGTTGATACAACCCACTATGGTCTACTGTACCCGCATGTCCTTCTCTGTCATATTGCAACCTAGCCAGTTATTCCCCAGTTGGCATCTGTACATATAGGTATTCCATCCCAAGTCCAGGACTTTGCACTCATCCTTGTTTTCCTTGTTCCCTTCATGAAAGAGAATTATCAGTTTTTGGGAAGCTTTATTAACCAACTCATTACAGTACATTTTCATTTATAAAGAATGAATCAAAACATGGCTGCAAAAGTGAAGAGGAACATAATTCATCTGCAACCCTTGGGCACATCCCCACATGCTGGGGCATGCACTTGCAGTGCCAATAAAAGTAGAGGCACAAATTTGTGCCACTACTTTTTACCATTGCACATGCTCCTGCATGTGTGCTTTGGTGCAGGGCAAAATACCCCCCTTAAGGGAAATTTCGCCTGGCTTGCTGGAGAAGCCAAGGTGGAACTAGGAGTGGAAACACTCAGGCCAGCAGCCAGGTCATCTCCTGGGAGGACTGAGCCTCCATGTCTGCTGATGTACACTTCTGTGGTGTGCACTGCACTGGGTATTTTTTTGGTTGTGGGGTTTGTTTGGCTTTTTTGCATCGTGTTTGGCAGTGGGGGGGGGGCAATAGTATGTTTGTTTGTTTTTCTACTGGGATTTTCCAATAGCAAATTTTGCCCCCATGCTGCATATTTGAAGCATAGGGCACGCAAAGAGGTTTGCAGCACCACAAACCTCATATGCGTGCACATCTGGATCTGGCCCATCAGGTGACAAGAAAGAGCAGGAACAATCAAATCCCCTTGAACACACAAGAGCATGTGTAGCTACTTTGAATTAAGTATTAATTGAAGACCTCCACGAGTAGATGAAAAGAAAGGTCAGCTGTTGAGATGACAAATGCATTAATTAAAATAATAATTTTATTGAACCACAGTGAGTTCTAGTAGTTCCAAAATCATGTTCATGTAAAAAAACAACCTCAGATTTGTTATAGACAATGATAAAATTAAGAGAAACATTGCCTGTGTGTGTTTAAAATAAGTGAAGGATTTAAAACTGTGGTGGAAAGAACAAGCTAAAAAGGACCCTGGATAACACTCCAATCAGTAAGGGAAGCAGTAATTTAGACCCACTGAAATTGTAATGGGGACCATAGCAACCATTCATTTCTTATGCCTCATGTGTATTTGGACAAAGTAACTAAAAGGCTTAAGCAAAAGCAGAATGCACCCTAACAGCAAAGGAGTCTTACATAGAATCTAATATATCACAGTATTACACAATGTACAGCTTGGGTCTATTGGCCTAAAATGGATGCAGCAAAAATGTTAATGTATTCACTTTATGCTGACCAAGATTGGATTGAAACCCTTCAGTGAAATAGGTTTGGAAAAGGAATAGTCAGTAATGTCAAACAATCATTGCCTCTAGTCCTGCTCGTTCAAATGAAGTGTTATGATTTATATTCAGCTGGGAGAATCAAAGCCTAGAAAAAGAAAATTCCAAGAAAAATTCTCATTGGGCATAACCTTCAAGGCTATGGAGTGTGGAAAAATATTTTACATTTAACAATCTTTTCTTCCAGCACCCGCTTTTTTCTTTATGTTTTTCTTCATTCTGTCAGACTGGACTGGAAGATTTTATGATTTAGATGTATAATTTTTGTTTTAATTTTACTGAGAAGGCAATTAGTTGTAGATTGAAAACATTCTCATTCTTAAACTATAAAACTAACTGAAAACCAGTTATAAAACAGTGTTCAGCAGCCAACATGTTCTTGTAGACCTTGAAAGAAAAACTGATCTGCGTAGCAATTTGAGCTTTAAATGAGTGCCGTTCCTATATAAACCTGGCAAACAGATTGTGCCTTTGTAATAGTTCTGCATATATTGGTATTGTTAGAGTGATGTTTTAGCTATGATGGTCCAGGAATTATGCGAGAGGCAAAGAATTCTTAGGGTATCAGTGGCATAGTTGGGATAAAGTTAGACAAACTTTTAGATGCAAGACATTTTTCTTCGAGTCATTACATGTTGGTTCAGTAAAAAATACCACCACCACCCCCCAGAAATCCTTGCCTGCTGCATATATTAGCATTGTTACAGGTGATAAATGTTATTGGGCTGATGAGCCCCAATACTAGGCAGGGTCATCCCTAGGGGGGCTCAAATCAGGGCAACCACCCCAGGCCCTGCACTTTGGGGGGCCCCGTGGAGCCGGGTGGAGCAATGCAGGGACTCCATGCTGCTGCTGGCTTCACGTCCGGGCATTCGGCACGCCCATATCCCCCCACCCACTCCGCCGCTGAATCTGCCACTGGCTTTCTTGCATCCAGGGTCAGGGCCCCACACAGGCTGATTTGCCCTGGGCCCACACCCTGCTCAGATCATCTCTGATACTAGGTATAACAGGGGACTAGTAAAGTAACACCAGTTACTTTAAGAGAGAATGAGGGCAGTATTATGTGGCTGCCAGACATTGCTGGCTGCTGAATTGGGGCCACTGCAAAAAGACAGGCAGCCAAAGGGAATCAAAAGGGTAACAACTCCAAAGCAACAAGCTACAAGCTTACCGGGAATAAGCAGAAATAAGATACTGGAGTTAAACTACAAGTAGCCAGTAAATTGCTGGCTGTGTCGTGCTGAAGGATTAATGTAAATTCCCTGGACTCAGTTAAAAGACCTAGGGTGATATGATGGGAAGAGGTGGCCAGGAAGCCTAGCCATTAGCCTGGATCCTGGGCTAGAGACGCTATTTCGGGTCAAGGCACAGGAAAGAGGAGCTTTCTGAAAACTGCCGTAGAGTGGTCCTTGTCTGTCTTGAAGGAGTCCCTGGGCATGAGGAGTGATCTAGTGCAGGCTTGTCCCACATGCGGCCCACCAAGGCATTTTCTGAGGCCCGAGGTGCTGCAACGGGAAACTAAAGTAAACACTGTTTACTTTCGTTCCCACCCCTTGTTCCTGCCCCAGCCCC